GTGTGTGTGTGTGTGTGTGTGTGTGTGTGTGTGTGTGTGTGTGTGTGAGAAAGAGATCTGCGGAGGAAGATGGGGGCGGGCGCTGCCGGGAGCTGTCCTCGGTGCTGCTCTTCTCAGGCGGTCTTCCCGAGTTCTCTCCACACCCCGCACCCAGTTCTCAGTATTTATCCTGACAGCGGAGCTGGGCCACGCCTCCTCCTGCCTCCCATTCCTCATTCCCGCCTCTAGCTCGCATCAACCTTTTTCCCCTCCCAGTTTTCTCCTCTCCTCGCAGGAAAGCTTGCTGGAGCAGGAGTTTTAGAGTGTAGGAAGCAGCAGGTGGTGGGAGATCCTTAGCTCAGAGACTGAAGCCTGAAAACAGACACTCTTTTCCCCACATTCTCCTAATCCATAAACTATCTTCGTTCCTGAATAATATAGTGAAATAATATAAAGAGGTTTTGATTTTCAGATGCAAGGGGAAAGCTGATAAACAATACCACCATACAAATGGTGTGTGTGTGTGTGTGTGTGTGAGAGAGAGAGAGAGAGAGAGAGAGACAGAGAAGAAAGGAGACTTCTCTGAGATATTTTGGTATTTGTTTGAACAAAGTCAGGTGAAAGCTTAGCAAGTATTAGGCTACTTTGATTAATGTGTACAATTAATTTATTGCTATCAACCACTCTATTTTGTACTGGAGCGTCATCCTAGGAATGTTTCTTACGATGGTTTAAATGAACAAGACCTGCCAGCATGATGAAGTAGGATTATGTGTTGTTTTTTTTTTTTTTTCCAACTTGAAGTAGACTAACTGGAAAGTGATAAAATTATAAAATCTTAAAATGTTAGAGAAAGAAGTGATCTTAGAACTATTATGGTTTACTTCCTATGAGCTTAGAAAGAACAAGCCCAAGCAAAAAGAAACTAAGATTCTGGTCTAAGTTTATACCTAGGTGAGTTACTGACCCAGCTAACACCCTATTCAGAGGCCTTAACACATATATCTCTTCTTTCCATGCCAAGCAGTATTTGTTGAAGATTTTTTCGGGAACTGGAAGTGACCATCGGAGTTCGAAAAAAGAAAAACCTACCTAACTGAATACATGTTACATTTTTAGTATGTAATAAGTATAAATAATTTATTAAATAAATACTTCTAAAGTGTTTGGTTTTGAATCTTTTGAGATCTTGAGGTCCTCTAAAGGCCTACCTTAGGTATCTGATTTACAATGGTACAAAAGCAAAGTGGAGGAACAAGAGAAAATCCAAATGCAGCCAATGTAGACTTAAAGTGAATTAAAGTGAATTTACCAAGCTTTATTTTTTTAACCTTCTGAATTAACTATGAGAACCCTCAAATTTGTGTTTCTTGGACTACAACTCTACCCAGTAGTGGATTCATGGAATATTTTACGCGGATCCTTTTCAGAGACCCATTATTTGAAAGTTGATCTCTTTCAATAAACTTCTCAGTGGAGTTCTCTCTTCTATAATACTTGGCAGTACACAAATTATTTTCATTTTAGTTACTTTATCTGATTCTCACTTTTAGTGACTGAGAGTGTTATGTGGAGCAATACTATTATTCTTATTGTACACAAGAGGAAAATAACTATTCTTGGAGTAAATAGGGTACATTAAATGCTCAGTTATTTGTATTTGTATTCATCCAGTGAGCTTTTATTAATACTTACTATGTCAAGCACTCTGCTAGACATTGGAAACCAAAAGACATGGTGGCTGCCTTCTTGAAGCTTAGACTTATGGGGATATGGTTACATGCATACAGATGACTGTACATACGGATATAATAGAAGAATGCATAAGTTAATATGCCTGCATAAGCCTCCTTGTTTTTCCGCTGTGAGAGTTGAAGCTTAAGTTTTCTAGCTTTACTTAGATAACAAGCACAGAGAGAACTTTCTTCCATGAGGGCCCTTCAGGTTATAAGGTGAAATGGTCATGAGAGTGAAAGACCAATTAATTGATGCAAGCAGTTGATAACTCCTGGAAAACTAATTCTAAGAAATGGCCTGGTTGCCACCATATTAGCAGCAGAATCTTTGTATGAAAAATATGGTATGTGATCTTGGAAGCAAATACTGGTGGATTAGCTTTGAAAGGGAAGTGAGAAAGTATTGACTTTGGGATGACTTGAAGAAGCACTCCGACCCTTTCTGGTACTGATGCTAACAATGTCTAGACTCTGGGTACAGCTCTGAGACAAAAAGTCTAGGAAAAAACCCCACATGAATTAAACAAGCCAATGAAAAGAAAACTAACGTTTATATGCTTTTTGTTAATTATGACTAATCTCCTTCCTGAAACCCACTTCTTAACCCCCTGATGGATGCAAAGGCACACACATGCACACACGCTAGTATAAATTCTTCAATAGTTCCACCACAACTTTTTTTTATGAGTTTCATTTTAAAATATTACATGGATTTTAAAAAAAGATGTACACGAGAAGGCCATCTCTTTTCCATTTCATTTCTCTAAAGCTATGATGACTTTAGAATTTCCATGTGGCAATGTTTAGGTGTGGTGATTTCAGGGTGGGAGGGTGAGAAAAGAGTGGGTGTTTTTCTTGTAGCTGTGTACAAATAGCAAGCACACTTTTTGCTTTTTATGTTCATGTGGAGTGGCTTTTAAGGGAACTAATGTAGATTATGGAGATCTAAAGCTCCCTTTTAAATCACCTCTTAGTACTGTCACTGCCCTGAGGTAATCAGTATTAAACGCCATATGCTTATACAAACATCCAAATACACATATATGGGTTTGTTATTGTTTTTATTTGGTTTCACAGAAAAGAGGCTATATTCTGTATATCACTCTAAATTTCACTACTAATTCAAGGACATCCCTCTTATATTAACATCAGCATCTAACTCATACTTTCCTAACAGTCTAATATCTTTTATTAACCATAATTATAGATGTTTAGATTATTTCTATTTTTTTTTACTGTGACAAATAATGCTGTGACAAACACCTCTATCCATTTATCTTAGATACATGTGTTCGTAATTACAACAGGAGAGTCTCCAATAATAACATTATTAATGAAGCAGTGTATTTAAATTTTTAACACACATTTCCAAATTATTTTCCCCAATTTGTAGCAACTCATAGTCAAATGAATAGAGTCTGAGGATGACTTAGACTCATTAGTAATGAGCGTTATTGCCTTTTAAATTTTATGCTAATCTAATGGGTAAACATAGGTTATTATTTCTCTTAATTTGCATTCACTATTATTAAAATTTACCTTCTGTTTTTCTAAGGGATAAAAATTCCTCTCTTGAAAAAAAAAATCCTCTCTTATACATGTGCATGCTCACTATATATACAGAAATTTTTTAATAGGAGAAATATATAATTCCAGACAATATTTTTCCTCGGGACTATTACTGGTCTAAGGTCCCAGACTATCACTTCAAAAAAATTTCTCTTTTCAGACTATATTCAGCAATTTCTAGATTAAATTCTACTTTATACTGCCAGTAAAGAAGTGTATGTTTTATATAGATTTGAAGAAATGAGAAATTCTTTTTACTACTGTTCCCAAATTCTTTGGTTCCTTAATTATGGTAAGAAGGATCTTCTAAAATGCATGGGAATCCTTTCATGTCTAGGATTTTTGAACCACAAATGATTTTAATAGTAAGAGATTTTTCCATGAGATTGCGGTTTCTAAAGTCAGCATTGCTCACAGAGCATTTTTATGACTTGCTTTATAGTCCTCGTTACCCAACATTAAGGGGAATGGGTTCGTGATCCGGTATTGTCATAAAAGTAGAAGTAATTTATTTGCAAAAATATTCTCCAGGGTAATTAAACTGCATTTCCCATTTCATGTTACTGAATTACCTCATCTCCATTCATATTCAGGCTACTGCAGTTCCAATTCACTATGCAGATTGGAATACTCAGAACTTCCCAGGTTTAATGAATGCACTTAGCTTCCATTCAGAAAAGAAAATTCCCAGAAATCTTTTAGTGTGGATCCAATTGCAAGGGGAATATAGTGCATCACTTTCTCTGCACTCTACCCCTCATAGAAGTGTCTTTAATAAATGAATTAAACCTTCTTGCAGGGAGTTCATGGTTTTACCCACTTATATTCTCTGAAGGACACCTCATCAGCATCATCTTGCTATTTGATGTGCTGTCCCCAAGTATTGCAGGATTTTGTGTAGATTTAGTCATGGAGAATTCTATACTTTGGGTTAGCTAGGCGACAATGGGAAAGAACTCTATTTCATTCTGGGTGCCGCAGTTTTAGAAAAAGAAGTGATCTGAAGTAGCTCATATAGGGGACAGTAGAACGTTTTGGAAACCATGGTATGTGGCAAATTGTGGAATGAGATAGCAAAGTTTGGCTGGGAGAAGTCACCTGTAAGTATTTGCAAGGCGGACATAAGGAAGAAGGGACAGACTTTACCAGAAGGCACCAGAGGTGACTTTTAGTGCAGTTTCAACAGACTTCTCTTTCGATTGGAGCTCTCCCCCAAGGATGGGCACTGGTACGTGGGTGGCACAATTCCCCCACAATAATACTCATTCGCTTGTTCAGAAATATTTACTGACCTCAGTATATGATTCAAGAGGCTGCAGTGGTGGGGCAGACAGTGTATGTCTTCATGAGGGTTGCAGTGTAGCAGGAAAGAATGTGGAGGTGGAAACTGAGTGGCAGGCGGTGAGGAGGGTTGTCGAGGGGATATATGCACTGGGGAGAATTTTACTCTATAACTTCTGTCATCCTTCCCAACTCTCTCATTCGTTAATACTGTGCTTCTGCTTGGCCTGTTGTTTTTGTTGTTAGTACTGTACATTTTCAAAATAGATACCAAGTGGGAGTATAGGCTATGGCCTTGAGCAAAAATGATTTTTCTTAGTGATTAACTGGCCTACTTAGGATAATTCTGAAGTCCATGGCCTCATTAA